TGCATACTCATTTCCTGCATATTATTGTATCATACCGAGACACTGATATAGAAAAGTACTACGCACTACACAGTATTTTTCTATAAGACTTTAACATTCTAAAAGACATCCACAGTTAAAGACAAGATGAAATTTGGTCATTCAGAAATATCTTAACGATGATGTCATATGTATTTAAAATAAGCAGACATATAAACATCTTCAATTTGTTCTAAATATCTCCTAAGTTTTTTCAAATACATATTTTGGATGTTTCATAGGATACTTAAGATCAAGTTTTGCTGTGTGAGATTTCGCCACATGCTTATTTTTCGCATTGGCTGCGTTCAGCGAACTGGTATATTCTTTTAGAATTCAATTAGTATTTCAGATCTGGAAGAGTACACCAATAACAACGAGTGCTCATTCAACTGTTGAGTTCATTGAACGCAGCTATTGTTGGTCACGAGTGCGGTTCACTTGACGCTACAAATGTTTCAAAACTTTTGATTGACCAATCGGAAGAAAGAATTTTATTAATTAACCAATCAAAAAATGTTTTGAAGTGTTTGTAGCATTAAGACCATTGTTTACTGCACAGAATGCTTCACCCATGGTGAAAAGAATATAAGGTGTAGTACTCCCATGAATGCGCAATAGGAGAGTGAATTGGGTAACATTTGATTGGCTGTTATACCCGATTGGCAGTATAACCAGCGTTATTATACGCAGGAAAGTGCATATTGAGAACATTTGATTGGTTAACATTGTTTGTTTTGTCTCTCGGGAACAATAAATGTCAGGGGATCAATTCTATATCTTGAAACGAGGTGAAAATTACAAAAGTGAGTAAATTTACTAGGTATTGACCAATGAAATTATCAGTATTCTAGTAAATTCGTTCCCTAGATGTCGTATGACGGATGTTGTACGTAATATAAATCCTTTTGGCCGCAGCACAGACTCTTGCATAATGCGTAGTGTATAAAAGACTCAACCAAAATTCTTCTTTTCCATAGAATGGGAGGAAAGGAAAGATTCTAATTAGTTGATTTGTTTATGTTTACGTTATGCATTATGCAAAAATCTGTACTGTGACCTTATGACCATTCTATAATAAGCCATTAATCAGAAGTTAGAAGCTGGAAATTGACTAATCACAGTCATCAATTTCTAACTTCTAATTTCTAATTTATGACTAATGGTTATTATAGAATAGCCATTACATTTCAAATACGGTGGGTTCATTTGGTGGGAGCGAGCAGTTCCCGAGAGACAAAACGAATAATCCTTATTATTATTTCTAATATTGCTATCGCCACTATATGTAATGTTTCATCTTCTATTCTTTCCATGGCTTCACCTTTCCAATTCCATCATGGTCCATCATTCATTTATGCACGAGGATTATATTGGCGGGAAAGAAGTAGTTAACTTTTTATTTATGTTGTTATTGTATAACGTTATTATTCTGTGAAAAATCACATTTCTTTAAAATAAACTTGTTCACAAAAACGACAAATTGTGGATATTAAACATATCCGATGCTGAATTCGTAGCAGTAACAGTAACGTAGCAGTAATCGATAATAAGTATTTCGGTAAAAAGTTTCGTGTATAAATATATATAAATATACGTAGAAATATTTATAAACATTATACAATATATGAAATTATATATATATATA